GGGTAAACGCGACCGCGGGGCAATCCCGAATTCAACGGTTCTGATGTGTTAGAAAAGATAGGCATATTTCGCTTGTCGCCATCTTGGAGATCACGCCACCACTAGTGCTAGTCAACAACCCGAGCGACGCGGACGCACGTACTTATCAAGGTATGCATTCTGATATATTTTGCAAGATTTTGATGTAATTTTTTTGTAAATTCAACTGGATGTAACTTAATTTGTATTAACAATATTTATTTCACATTAAATTACTAGAATACTAACTTATTAAGCTTTTAAATAAAAATGATGCAATCGGCAAAAGTGGTATAACCTAAAATATCTATATCGATTTATTGTTTTCTATTTGGTGGGGAAAAGGCGATCGGTGCATGTGGGGTAAACTCGAATGTTCGTCATTACCCCATCATTTTGTTGGTTCCCTGTTAATATAATTTTTATTATTGTTCTAGATGCCTCGTAATTATAAAAGAAAGACAGCGACGAGATACAGTCTAGAAGATCTCAAAAAGGCTATAGATGATGTTAAAACGAAAAAACTTACCATTGGAAAAGCTGCAGAAACGTATAATGTTCCAAAAACGACCATTTTTGATCATCTAAAGAAGACAGTAGTTAAATTGCCAAGAACTGGTCGAAAACCATTATTTACAGACAAGCAAGAAACGGAACTTGTAGATTACATCATAAAATGCAGCAAACTTTATTACGGCCTAACAATAAAAAAAATTCGTCAAATTGCTTACCAATATGCTCAGAAGAACAAACTTACTCATAATTTTGACCAAGTAAAACAGGTAGCTGGGAAAGACTGGTATTACAATTTCATGAAGAGACATCCCAGCCTATCTCTGAGAACACCTGAAGCGACTTCGCTAAACCGAATCACAGCTTTTAATGAAACTGAAGTTGGAGTTTTTTATAGCAATTTGAAGACCATACAAGATCAACATCATATTCAACCAGACAAAATTTTTAACGTCGATGAAACAGGTATATCAACAGTCCAGAGAAATCAAAAAATAGTGGCAGTAAGAGGTCAGAAGCAAGTCGGTAAGGCAACGAGTGCCGAAAGAGGTTGTACAACAACAGTGGTTTGTGCATTTAGTGCAGGCGGTCAGTATATTCCACCATTTTTTATATTTAAAAGAAAGCGAATGAATCCACTATTGCTAAAAGGTAGTAACCCTAACATGGTTGGAGCTGTGTCAGATTCTGGATGGATAAATGAAAGCCTTTTTGTTGATTGGCTACACCACTTCATTTCATATGCAAAGCCTTCAAAAGAAGATCCAGTGTTGCTCATATTGGATAACCATGAAAGTCACATTAGTCTTGATGCTTATTCGCTATGCAGAGAACATGGAATCATAATGCTGACTTTGCCACCACACACCTCACATAGGCTCCAACCTTTGGACTTAACATATTTTGGCCCTATCAAGACAGCATACAACCAAGAATGTGAGAATCACATGGCAGATCGATTTGGACAGCCCATTACACAATACGACATAGTAGAATTGTTTACGAATGCTTTTAATCGATGCAGTAACCTACAAAAAGCAGCAAGTGGTTTCAGATCTGCAGGAATATATCCATTGCGACCCATCGAGTTCGATACAATTGAGCCAAACTTATCCCAAAGTAACGCACTGACAATAATGAACCCATCACAAACCATTGATACGATTACCCAACTCACAAATAATCAAGAAACTGAAGTTCAACAAGTTTCCAATGCTGATACAACTGCAGTAACCCAAGTTCACAGTGTTGAAGATTTCAATAACCAGGGATCCGATACAGTTCTTGCTGATTCATTTAGCGAAAACTTACATGAAGTTCATCTATCCGATATTATTGAATTGCCTGTAATTCCTCCAAAAGTTTCAAAACGCAATATTAGAAAGAGAAAATCTACTATTCTGACAAGCACACCTATAAAGGAGCAGTTAGAAGAAAAGGAAAACCGAAAAAAAACAAAAGCTGAAGAGAGTAAGGAAAAACAAAAAAAAATAATAAATAAAGAATCTCAAATAAAAAGACTGAAATGTAGTGATAAGGGACCTTTGAAAGAAGTTAAACGAGTATTAAAGAATTTTAATAATATAAAAGAATTTAATGACCCTAGTCAAAATACTAAAAAAAAAGGAAACAAGAGAAATGAAGACTTTTTTTGTATATTTTGTGAAGATAAATATATAGATCCCCCTGTGGAAGACTGGATAATGTGTTACGTGTGTGGGAAATGGGCCCACGAGAATTGTACCGACGGTCAGTCAACATCGGCAGGTTATAAATGTGATCACTGTCGCTATTAATGTTACGTAATTACGAACGTAATTACCCCACTTGGTGTTCGTGTTTACCCGACTAACGTCGGGGAAAACCGAACACGAAGGGTTTTGTTTTTTATTTATATTATCATAGTTTATTGAAAAAATATAAATGTTGCCTACTTGATTTGTTACTTAGATAAGTAAACTTTATAATTAAACAATGGAAGAAGCCCTGTGATTAAATTTCACTGTTTTATTTCAGTTT